ACTACATTTAAAATACATTTAGATCGTAACTTTTAAAAACAAATGCCCGTCGGGGAAGATCTTATGAAAAATGTGAAAACTTTGAGACGTAGCAATATACTTTTTGTAAATATCTAGCCGTAAAAAGTTACGCATAGTTTCAGTTGCGTCTTTAAAACCCCCTAAAAACAAAGAGAATAATACGTGCAAGAAGTATAGACAAGTTATATGTTAAAAACAAATGCCCGTCGGGTCAAAACATAAGTTATATTATCTAGTTAATATTATCTTTTAAACTACATTTAAAATACATTTAGATCGTAACTTTTAAAAACAAATGCCCGTCGGGGAAGATCTTATGAAAAATGTGAAAACTTTGAGACGTAGCAATATACTTTTTGTAAATATCTAGCCGTAAAAAGTTACGCATAGTTTCAGTTGCGTCTTTAAAACCCCCTAAAAACAAAGAGAATAATACGTGCAAGAAGTATAGACAAGTTATATGTTAAAAACAAATGCCCGTCGGGTCAAAACATAAGTTATATTATCTAGTTAATATTATCTTTTAAACTACATTTAAAATACATTTAGATCGTAACTTTTAAAAACAAATGCCCGTCGGGGAAGATCTTATGAAAAATGTGAAAACTTTGAGACGTAGCAATATACTTTTTGTAAATATCTAGCCGTAAAAAGTTACGCATAGTTTCAGTTGCGTCTTTAAAACCCCCTAAAAACAAAGAGAATAATACGTGCAAGAAGTATAGACAAGTTATATGTTCGTACAGACGGCTATGGTTTCAATTCAACGGTTGCACAGTGGGCCAGGTGGTGGACGAAAGTAAAGAACATTCTCAAAAATTACAATATTATTATATACCATTTTATATCTTAAAAATTCAGCTTTTATAAAATGTTTATATTTTTTATAATTATCATGCTGTAATGTTTTCTAATCTGTAGAATAAAAAATTTTATTTTTTTGAACTTTTTTTTTTGAACATTTTTTTTTCTTAAACTTGATAATACTTATTGTGTTAATAATAATCATAAAATTGCATGGAGCGATGACACCAGGGGGTACTTTTTTTTAATGAAAATTCTAGATATAGAGGACTTTTTTTAAAAAAATTAACGATGGTGCCCCTCCACTTCAAAACCCGTGTTGTCGGCCGTGAATAGTTGTTAATTTTAAAAACTCTCCTTTTATTGCATAACTAAATTAAACTAAATGAGTTTTTCAAATGACGGCAAGTTTTAATTTCTTATTTTGGTAAAAATTTTACTTAAATAATCAAATACTTTTGTGGTCCAAGGTGGTCCAGTAATTTGAGACTTAAAGTTCAATGTTCAATATGCACATAATGTACATATTGAACATCGAATTCTATCGAATAATGTACTGTATATTATCAATATAAATTTGGTTTATTATCCGCGGATGTCCGCATGGTCTCTAATAATGATTTTACCAAATCAAATGATCTATCAACATTATGTGACGAAAAAATTAAATGTATTTTATTCTAAATGCTTATACAGTAATTGGATCTTAGTGAAACTGAGTAAATAGCACAAACTTAACTACAAAAAAGTTAGTAACTTTGCAAAATGAACGATTGCCAGGCATTTCAAGTGTCACTATCAACCAAATAAAAAATCCATAGTACCACTGCATTTATAGTTTAAAAAATATTCAACGTGGTAATTATGGGAGTAATCAGATAAATATTTTAAAGTTATTACTTTTGTCCAGTTACCATTTTATAAAATTTTTAAATTTTTAAAAAAACAATTGAAAAAAAATTTTTCTCAGGAAATGTAAAAAATCTTCACGAACTTTGGAAAGGCATCAACATTCTAATTAATGTAAAAAAATTTAATAAATCATCTCCCTACTGTTTGCAAGAAAATGAAACATATGTAACTAACCCGACTCTAATCTCTGAATCATTTAACACTTTTTTTACAAATGTTGCTCATAAACTCAAATCCAATATTCATTCGTCTTACATTAAATATCAAAAATATCTTAAACATTATTTACATAGTTTATTATTATCTCCAACAAATATTCCTGAAATTTCATCTCTAATATCTAAATTGAATCCAAAAAAAATCATTAGGTCCAAACAGCATTCCCACAAATATTCTTTAATTTTTAATAATGAATTTTCAAATATTCTTTCTAAACTATTTAATACTTCGTTTACAAATGGAACATTTCTCGATATTTTGAAATTATCTCGCGTTATTCCAATACTTAAAATTGGCTCTAAACTTTCATGTACTAACTACAGACCTATTTCTCTTTTATCTAACATTAGTAAGCTTTTTGAGAAATTTATGTATTCTAGAGTGTACTCTTTTCTAAACTTATTTAGCTGTTTAAATGATTTTCAAATTGGTTTTCGACCAAAACATTCTACTTGCCATGCATTAATAAGTATAACAAAAAAAAATCAGGAAAGCTTTTGATACTGGTCATTTCTTTTGTGGTGTTTTTATCGATTTACAAAAAGCTTTCGATACCGTTGACCATAGTATTTTGATTTCTAAATTAAAACATTATGGAGTTCGCGGTATAGTAAATGACTGGTTTCGATCTTATCTTTCAGATCGAAAACAATTTGTAAGTATTAATGGCTTCAATTCCAGTAATAAATCAGTTTTGTTTGGTGTTCCTCATGGCTCTGTTCTAGTTCCTCTTTTGTTTTGATTCTAAATTAACGACCTAATCAACTCTGTTCACTTTTCATCAGTTCATCTGTTTGCTGATCATACAAATCTCTTGCACATCAACAAATCGTGTCATTTTTATGTAAAAATGTTAATTCGGATCTTAAACGTATATTTCACTGATTAAATGCTAACCACCGAAATATCTCAACACCGAAAAAATTGAACTAATTTTTTTTTCATCTCCAAGAAAAAACTATTTTTTAAAAATGTTGAAATCAAGATAAAAGTTAATAATAAACGGCTATATCCTTCAAGAGTAATTAAATATCAAGTTTATATTATAAGTTTATATTATAAGATAAGTTTATATTATAATATCAAATTAATATTCAAGAGTAATTAAATATCCAACAGAGCTATTCAGCCACTTGTTTTAAAAACTAGACAAAATAAGATATTCTTAGCTATATATACATATATAGTTTTAGGGTGTCCTGGGCGGTTATTGTCTTTGAAACTTTCTCTACTATCTTGAAAAAAAGCTTCCAACCACTAACTAATACAAGCTTATTGGTTATTGCTTGTGCTGAAACTCCGTTGTAATGCACGGATTACAATATATGCTTGATTTTCAATTTTGTAATTTTCTTTTAAATGTGTTTAATAAAAATTAAACGACTTTTTACATACATAATCAAAAACTTTCAAAAAGTACGTAAAATGTTAATAATTAAATACAGTTAAAGGTTTTATTACAACTTGACAGATGAAGTTCTACTAACTTTTTTAACGACCCAAGTAAAAAGAATTTATTGTTTTGAAATTAAAAAAAGTAGATTGTTTAAAAATTAAAAAATAGATTGTTTAAAAATTAAAAATATTAGATTGCTTTAAAATTAAGAGATATTACGAGTTAAATTGAATCAAATGTGTCAACAAAAATAAACACTGAAAACGTAACAAAAATAAACACGAAGATGTAACATAGTTTAAATTAAAATTTCAATTTAAAGTAAATTTTTAAAAGTAACACTAAAATTATAAAACTTTATGTTTTGCAAATTTAGTGTTAAAAAATATTTTACTTAGGCAAGAGTTTTTTTTTTTATTTATATTTTTTAATTGATTTTAAGATGTTTAATTTTTTTTAAAAAAAAATTAAACATCTTAAAAACTTAACTTCAGTTTAATTTAAAATTCAGTTTTCATGGAATACAAAATAAAACTGTGAAATTAGCCTTTTCAAGTAAGTTATGTATTTTTAGGTATTTTTGTTTTCAAATCTAAAAATAGATTTAACTACGGTAGTAAAGAAAAAAACCTTTTAGGAAATGAATATTTATGTAAGTAACGTCGTATTTTATTACTTTGGGGTCTTCCATAAAATATGTCATGCTCTAGGGGAAAGAAGTTAGTAATTTTGTGACAACTCGTACAAGACTTGTTACTAAGTCGATGTTTTGACGTGGAGGGGACGTGGGGAGGAAAAGGATTACAGTCAATAATTGCTTGACGTTTATGGACGACCTTTTAAGATTTTTTTAATTATGTTACAATAATTAAAAAAACCTTAACACGCAAAAAATAAACATTTTACCCTTTTTTTTTATTTATTTTCAAAAACTAAATTATTTTTGATCGAAACAACTTAAACTACTTTAAAAAGATAGAGCAGCCGTTGCGCAGTGTTTAGAGTTCCGGCTCAGAACCCAGAGGTCCGATGTTAAAAACCGGCTCTAGCCCTACAAGCGACATTGGTACGGAAGAAGGCGTAAACTTCTATTAAATGCTTTCCCGCGGTGCTCTGTGATACCGTAAGGGCTTTTGAGAGCACATAACTACAAAAAAAAAAAAAAAAAAAAAAAAAAAAAATTAATAAATTATTAAATTGAAAAATATGATGGTATAAAAAAACATAAATTTTGTAAAACAAATAAGATTTTGAATAAATTAGAAATAATTTGAACTAAGTTAAACACCAGTTATTTTATTAGCCTTTAAAGTAAATTAAATAAAATAAAGAGAAAAAAAAAATTGATTTATATATAATGTTCTGGCTCTAAAGAATGAAAAGAGGATATTCCGACAAAAAAAGTTAAACTATGCCATTGAAATAAGTGCCGTTGGACGGAAGAAAGGTTAAATGAAAAAAAAAAAATTTATAATTAAACTTATTGCTTAAAATGATTTGATGAGTTTGATAAATATTTTAGTTTTAAATAAATTCAAAAAAATAAAAATTTCATGACTTATTAAGTTGTGTCAGTGAAGCCAAGTATTTTCAATAACAACCAATGAACTTTTAAAACAATTTTTGTGATGTACTTTTTTTTTTTTTGACGTCAGATTAGAACCCAAGCGGTGTCTGCTTTAGACGTAAAATTATTCTGAGATCAAAACATGCAGAAATACTTTATATTAAAGTGTCGAAAAAATGTTCCCTTCGATCCTTGAGCACCCAACCTCCTTATATTTTTTATAAATTAAAATGGATTCTGATGATGATTCTATGGTTTATGATGAGGATGAGTTATCAGATCCAGAAGATGATCAAGAAGAGTTTGATATTTCTTGTGATGTAGAGGCAGCGGGTGAGCCATCTGCAAAACGTTATATGAAAGATAAAGATGATTTCTCGTATGATTGTTTAACTCCAGAGTCAATTGTTGTTTCAATGAAAAAAAATATTGATGAAGTAAACTCTGTATTTGAG